TCTATGTGGTGCATGGTAGTTGATGAGGCCGTAATCAGCTGAGTCTTGTTAAGATATTCTCTTCTGCTCATCTGTAGCGCGAGCGTCTTCCACACCCATACAAGGCCAATTGTACAAAGAAGACACTTCCTCAGATTCCACGTTACAGTAGAGACGGTTGTTTTACGCAGTGCCTAGCAAACAAGACCTTAGCAATGTGCGGCTGTAGAATGACTGGAATACCAGGTAAGTGAAAAGGCCTAAGTGGTTATTTACCGTATTACTGTAATCCTCCGTAGGAAAAAAGATGGCGACTAGTACATTTACCCATAGTTCTTAGCGTTCGAAAACCTTAACAACGTTCATGAAAACGTACAGAAAAGTTATAAAATCTTCAAACCTAGGCTACACAATGTCCTTAGTACAAGGACAAATATTCTAAGAATTTGGCTTTCTTCGTGCCTTAGAGGCTGTATTAGGTTCGCAAGGTATTGTGGTAAAATGTACAGCCGCCATCTTTTTTTCCTACGGTGGATTGCATTTGGTTGGTGGAAATGCGACCGGGGAACTCCCAACCAGAATTCCGGGCTCTCTATGATACTCAGAGCTGGCCTGGATTTGAGGTACAATATACACACATCTATTTACTAACTTGAAGTCAATTTACAGGTGAATTAACTGCCGTGTATTTCGAGTTTAAGAAATTCCTTACATGCTTGTCAGCCACCTATCAGAAAATTGTTTTTAAGTGTCTCAAAATTTGTGAATAAGTGAAAGAACGAAACAAAGAATGAAAAATAAACGGAAAGGACGAAATCTCGAGCTGATGAGCTAAAGGCGTGAATTACGTTCCTCGACCACACCCAACGGCTCAATGTAAGATAAATGGTAAGGTCAATTTGGGTTGTATGTTTGCTTGCTGGGAGTTTTGTCCTCGAACCTGCTGGGAAAAGGGAATCTCCTAGAAAAGGGAAAAGATATAAATTCGCCAGCAGTTAGAGAATTGTTTGATTTTGGAAATACTTATTTGTTCCATTGGTTACCTTGTGGCAAACTGACTCGTTGTGAGTCCTCGACAGCACTAATGGAAAGAAACTCACTTTTTTGCGTTGTTTTGTTCTCAAGTTCCGCCGGGGTATAACTTGAAGTAACACTGTAGAAGTTTTGATTATGCTAACGACCTCACATTTTTTTTTAAGGCCAATAAGAATCTCTTCACTATTTTCCTGACTTTATATCGTCGATCACGCTTCACAATAATGGGTCATATTTCTACTCATTCATGTTTTGCATTGTTGCAGTGCCCTCGAACTTGCCAGTGTGTACTTTTCAACACAAGTTCTGTGAGGAACAAAGTATTGGTACGTATTAACGCCATAGCATATACAGTGAAACCTGTATTAAGCGGACCCCATATTAAGCGGACACCCTGCTTGAGTCCATAAATTTTCTTTGCACATTTACTGTAAAATAAACCTGCAATCAGCGGACACCTCTGTTAAGCGGACGCGGACACCAATATTAAGCCATTTTATTGCACAAAATCTACAATAAGCGGACACTTCAAGGGTATTTTACTTCTTAAGGTTCAGCTGAGACTCCTTCAGCATTGTTCAGCGATGTCGTACGTTTTAAAGCTAAGTGATTATTCCAGATTGATGCATTGACTGACTGGACATTGTGCCATTAGCAGTCTTTGATCTCACACTGTGTTACACTGTGTTGCAAAAGAGTTAATAATGAACTTATTGCACATTATATTAGAACCTACTTAGAGCGGACACCCTGTATTAAGCGGACACTAAATGAGGGTCCAAAAGGTGCCCGCTTAATACAGGTTTCACCGTACTCAGGATATCTCTTCGTTAATATGGAAAGAGCAGATGCCTATCGACCCAGTTCGGCAACGGTCTTTTAAGCTTACAATAATAAATCTACTCATGATTACATTACCATAAAATGACATAAAATGTGAAAAATATTTGAATAATAGTTTCTTTTTTCAAACGCAAATACATAATAACCGGTTGTTGTTGCGTTTTTAAATATCCCCAACGTAGTGTGGACGGAAAACACTTGATACGTTTTCAGAGTGAAACCTTCGTTTTCAAATTCCTCCGACGTAGTGTGGGCGGGGCCTCAGTGTGGCTGATGTGTCCTTTTCCGTTTCAGCATCCTACAACTCTAATGATTGCTCCTGTGAGTTGCCATGCGCAGAATTAGATTATACAACACACGTGTCGTACGCACAGTTCCCGGATGATGGCATAACTAAGGTCTTAAAACACCTTCATGATTATAACGAAACATCGCGATATCAGAGGTAAACATGTCTAAAGTAATTGTTTATAGCAAACCTAAATATTTCTTGACCAAGTTACAGAAATAACAAATTTAACGTCAGTCAAGTGTAATACATTCTCGTCCCCAGAGGCCGCGCTCCTTTTGGTCAGCACCAAGAATCGCGACCTCCGGAAAGGTTCAACACCGGAAGTCCGCGGTTCACACGGACTTCCCGTCACCCTGCGCATGCTCAGAGTCAAGCCTGACAAATCTAATTGGCTTAGAGTACGAAGCGAATTTTCTGCGCATGCTCAGAAAATTGGACCCGGCCAGAGGTCGCGATTCTTGATGCTGACCAGAAAGAGCGCGGCCTCTCGGGACGAGTAGTATGACTTCTTAATGAAGAGGGGTCAAGATTGTCACTTCATTGACAAAGGAACTCAGACGAGTTCTGGAATACCTGTTAGTTGTTTGTTTGTTGTTTGTTGTTT